AGAAAAAGGGGGTGGGCCTGTGTGTGTGTGTGTGTGTGTGTGTGTGTGTGTGTGTGTGTCTGTAGGCAGATAGTGATTGAAATTGGATTACTTGGTTACAGCAGGAGAACACGGCAGGGTACAAGTTTATTTATAGACAACGCTCTGCCAGGGAGAGGTGAGCCTGTGTCCACAGGTTGCTTTAACCGCCAGCTTACACAGAAAATTATTTGAACCCTGAGCTTTACAGGAGAAGATGTAATCTCTGAAACACGCTGCCCATCTCAAACAGCTCCTTTGACACAAGCAAGAGAGGATGAGCTGATAAGAGAGACGTTTTTCTTTCTGTTCTCACCTGAGGAAAGCTGCTCCACTTTCGTATAGTTTAGGCAGAGAATATCGTTAACCCAGGCAGTGATGTCATGCCTGCTCATAGTCTCCTGGGTTATTGAGGTAGAATATACGTTGACCGCCATCCCCCAACTGCAACAGAAAAAACAACAACACTTAAAAACAGAAGCAATGCAATCTAGAATAAAAAGGAACAGTTTCCTCATGCGTCTGGTTTCTTGCATGTTTTTGACATTTTAAAAGATGGTAAACATACATTGCAGCCATTTGCTGTGTATCTTGAACCAAGCAGATTAACCACAATACAAGGCAGTAATACAACACACATTGTATCCTTTCAAAAGACCAATTTAATAGTAATTGGAACAGTTCAATCGTACTTTACAGATTAAGCTGATTGGAGTTTATGCAAAACAACCAACAAATAAGGTTGTATTACATTCAGTAATCTTACATCTGATTTCACTGGAAGACCCACAGCAAGACTGCACCAAGACTTACATCATGATATGATCTTAAGCATTTATCCACATGGCCAGACCGAGCTACAAAGAAGCACAAAAATGTACAGATGGCCACTAACAACACCCGACCACTCGCCGCTGCATGTCCCCAGTAATAGTGTCCACTCTCTACACTGTGAATGAACATGAATGAACCTGATCTTTACTCGGGAGTGCAGAGGCAAACCATAACACAAAGTAGTCAAGGCTCCAGTAATAACACAATTGTAAAAGAAAAAGAAGATACGGTTGAACTTATAGACCAATATAAAAATTGTATGGTGGCCAAAATTATCGCAAAGAGTAAATAAATAAAAGCTGGAACCAGAATTCAGACGTTTTTCCTTCAAAAGATTCCTCAAAATTATTGAGAGGATATAAAAATTGTTGCAGATTCTGTCAATCAGCAAATTGAACAATTGTTGCAGCTCTAAAAATGTCTCTGTAGCGTTAAAACTTACTTAAGAGATACAATCATAAACTAAACAACTAACCCTTTGGTGCAAGATGGTGAAAATGGGTCAGTGAGTTTGTTGTGCTGCTAGATTTCTCTACAGATCTGTTAAAACAGAACAGAACATTCGAATAGTTTCCTGCATCCTTTGCACAACCAACTGAGCCAAAGTATCTCCACACTGCTTAGGGAGCACAGAATATACAGAGTACGGTGTTAAAACAACTTTTTATCAGTACTATATTAAAATCTTGGTTGCTGCAGCCCTTGTGAATTTGTGCCTGGGATGTTATAATTTGAATTTACCTGCATGGCAAAAAAAAACCCATAGTAAAGTTGGATTAGAAAGCTGTTGCAATTTTACCTGCTTGCAAAATTTTAGCTTTTGGGGCCCCCGGGGCTCCTGGCCCACTTGTACTAAGAACATTCAGTCCTACAGTATAAACCAAAGGCATTACTACGTGCCAAAAACTGCATCCAGCGACTTTGATCCCTTAAGATACAGATTAAACAGTTACACCACATGGCCACAACACAACCAGTAGATGCTTACAATTTCATTTTTTTTAACTCTTGGTAGGAGAAACATCGAAAGCGGCCTCGTTCCCAGTTTTTCCTACATCTTCGGTAGACCAGAAACAGCCAGGCCAAGTATATGAACCCACATATATCTCAACCCATTTTTAACAAATATTAGCAATATAATTGAACTATTTATCATCTTCATCTTGTTTGCACTTTACCCATCAACATGTGTGTAACTGCAAAAAAACAGGGAATGTTTGAGTCCCATTAGAAACTGATATGACCTTTAACACTATAGTAAAATAAAAGTAGTACACATATATACACATTACTCAAGTGTGCAGCTCTCTCCAGTTCTTCTGCAGAAATGAACTCTGCAGCATAACCATTTTAGTTTTCATTCATCGACAGAGGACAGCTGCATTAAAAACACCCCTCTTACCGGCTCATGGCAGCCACTGATATGCTATTAAATCATGCCAAATCATCATCATCACCACCAGCCACCAGCCGACACCGGGGTTATGCGGGATAATAATAACCCTTCAGCAGTAAAGTTAGGCTATCGCGGCGGTGCAGGAGCTCAGCCTCGGCTCACTGACTGTCCGGGAGGGAAGGAAGGAAACCGGGCCAGCCGATCTCATGTCAACAAAGCGGATGTATGAGCTGCTAGCACGCTTTGTTAGCCGGGCAGATATAGCCAGGGCTGGGCTGATGCCTCCATTCAAACAGAGGAGGGGGGGGAAAAAAAGCGGACTTGTGCAGCAAGGGTGTCGTGAGGGTGTTTAAAAACGTGAACGAAATCCCCTTTAAAACTGCCAAATATGGTTTTTATTAAGGATTGCTGTGTAGCTGCGAAGTGTCATGTCACGATGGGAATATATTAGCCAGCAGCAGCAGCAGCAGGGGCGGCAG